GTCATGTTAGCTCAGGAATTCTTGGAGTTGAAGTCCACAAGTCTTAAACTTGCCAAGTTTCAAGACCCTTGGATTGAATGAAGGAAAATGAAAAATAATAGATGAAAATGAATGAATGAATTGAGGGAAAACGATAAACGAAGGAAAATGAATGAACGAATAAATGAATTGAAGGAAAATGAATGCACGAATGAATTGATGGAGATGTTGAAATTGACTATATTATGCCACCCCTCCTCTTAAGGAGGCCACTCTAGTGGGACCAAGAAGAAGGACCTTCTCTGTGATGGCTCCCTCCCTGTGTTCATATCATGTGAACATAAGATTGGGCCCCCACTTTGGCACTCTTTCACAAGACCCTAAAGGCATGGTTCTGCCAATGGGCCTGCAGAACCCAGGGTAATAGGGACCCCATCAACTGGCTGGTTTGATTGTTGTCACCAGGGAGATGGGGGTTTGGGTTTTGCAATGGGGTTTTATTTTCGTAAACTACCCATGAATGAGTTGAATGGCCGTGTAAATTTTGTTCATATAATAATAATATAGCATGATTTACTTACAGGCTGGCCCTTTTCTCCTTTAGTGCCTGCGCTCCCAGGTAGTCCCTGATAGGGGAAAAAGAGTCACTAATAATGCAAAACAGAGTTGATAAACATATTTAGGATTTCTCCTTCCCAAGACCAAATATTCATAAAATAATAGTTTGTGCACTCAGGGAACCATAAATGTAAGCATCCAGATATGCACACAAGTAAATGCTAGAATAACTTCCAGTTTTATGGGCTACCAAGCTCAACAATTTCATCAAAGATGACCAACCTTCTCCATTTCCATCTCTTTTTAATGTCAGCCTTCCCTTATCCCTCAAATTCCTATATGTCTATGAAGATTCTCAATTATCCAGGTAATGGTTGTTCCAGAGGTGCTTTTCCAAAAGGCAACTGGACTGAGATAAGTTTGGTTGAAGTTTGGCTGATGCAATATCCTTAGGAGATTGTACAATGTAGTGAGCTCTGCTGCTAGATGGTAGTGGTTTAATCCTATTATGTCCTGGAAGGCCATGTCCTAATCCCATCATCCTGGAGCTGAAGGTTTTTTGTCTTGTAGATAGGCTGGCCTAGTCTTTCTTAATGGGCACCAAATATCTGCTGGGGGCAGGGAGCTGGTTTTTTCCTTGGGTTTTTTTGTTTCTCCCCCAAGAAAAAGAACTGAGGAAGCTTCTTGATTGAGAAGCGAAATGTTTTCACAGAAAAAAAAACTAAGGAATTCCAATTGTGTTTTGGAAAAGCACCTTTGGGACTTGAGTCCTCTAATTCCTCAACCAATACGGATTGTGAGGGATGATGGAAATCTAATATATTTGGTGGACACCAGGTTGGGGGAGCTTGTTCTATCCACTCCAGTTCTCCTTCCCTTCCTGCTTTTTATATGAGTATGGGATGTTTTTTCTGGGATTCCTGCCTATCCTTTGCATGGCAGAAAGATGGAGTAGGAATCAAAGAAATAAGATAGTCGAAATGCTCTCTGAAATCAGGGGTGAATTCAAATTTTTTCCCCTCATGGCTCTGTGGGCGTGGCTTGGTGGGACTCAGTCTCTAAAAGGAAGAAGGTGGGTGGGCATTGGGTGGGGCCAACCGATTCAAATCATCCCTACCACCCCTCCCGAAGTGGTGCGAGATGGTTGAATTTCACCCCTGCTCTGAATATAATAGTATGTTGTAGGATAGAGGCCTCTGCTCCTCCAACTGGGAGTCGAATCAAAAATAAAACGGAATGGGAAAGATTAAAAAAAAAACCACAGGCAATTGTCAAGTTTTTAGGTCCCTGGAAATCAGTAGAGCAGCGTTTCCTCATCCTTGGCAGCTTGAAAAGGTGTGGAGTTCAATTCCCAGAATGCTGGCTGGGGAATTCTAGGAATTGAAGTCTACACCTTTTTCCGGCTGCCAAAGGTGAGAAATACTGCAGTAGAGGATACCAATCTCTCTGCGGAATGGTTTCTTTGACCTCTAAGAAGTCGGAGAGGTATCAGGAGAAGGTGCAAATCACCCTGATATCTCTTTGATCTAAATTTTATGAAAGAAATCTTACAGGGAGTCCGTGAGGGCCTTTCTCTCCAGGAGCACCAGAATGACCAGCAGCGCCCTACGAATAAAGAAATAATGATGTGTAAATTCCATTACAGACAATATTAATAATTTGCTTTAATAGGATGACAATCCATTCTCCTATTTTTATTAAACCTTCCTCCCTTCCTCCCTCCCTCCCTTCCTTACCCCACTCCTGTGCAAGAAAGAAAGATGCCCAGGTTGACTAACTCTCGTTGGAATTCATTATTGGAATGTATTTCTATTCCACAACTACAGTAGCATTCAGCCAGTAGATGGCAGTATTTACAAGTTTGGATCTGTGGTATATACACTCTATGCTCTTTTTTTCTAAGTAGAATTTCCTGTTACATTAAATAGTTGAGCAGTAAAGCACACGGTGACTGTACTGTTTGTTTACTTTGTGTGGTGCTTTATATAAGCAGAATTTTTAACAAGTCCTCAACTTACTATTACAATTGGGACCAAAATGTCCATTGCTAAGCAAAGCAGTTGTTAAGTGAGTCATGTCCAATTTAAAACATTTTTGCCATGGTTAAGTGATTCACAGCAGTTATTAAGCGAATCATGCAATTGTTAACTAAATCCAGCTTCTCACTTTGACTTTGCTTGTAGGAAGCCAGCTGGGGAGATCACAAATGTGATCACATGACTCCAGGATGCTGCAATCATTGTACACACATGGTGGTTGCCAAGCGCCTGAATTTTGATCACACACTGCAGGGGTATTGCATCAGCCATTAATGTGATGATTGGTTACAAGGTACTTTTTCCAGGGCCGTTGTTAAGTTTGAACCATTTCTAAACAAATGGTTGTAAGTCAAGGACTACCTGTACTTTTATAATATTTGAAACTATTTGTCAAATTGAGAGCTACTTTGAAACTTGGAACATTTGATGTTTGGTGTAAGGAAAATCCCTGAATGTTCCTGCCCCTAAGATTAGAAGAAGAAAAAAGCAATTATTGGATTTCTGCTCTCTTTTACACAAAAAACATTGTCATTGCACACGTAGGAAAGTCTTCTCAAATCCCTTATTGTTGGATTCCAAAACACAACATTTACAAGCTGTGGAAGATTGCTTGGGTTTTGTATACACATCAGCACAAACCAAATGGGAATTTAACAAATGAAAAATGAAACGAAACTTTGAAAAATGAGAAAAATGAAATGGGTTGTTGTTTTTTTGGGCTCATTAATGTCAGAGTAAAGTATTGCTGGTTCCAGTGAATTTTAAAGGTCTCATTTGTAAAAGTTACATCAACCACAGTGCACACTGTTTTGATCCATTTTATAAACAGGTTCACAAAGAACAGAATTCAGTGCATTTCGTAAATAAATAGTCTTGTGCATCTATGGGCAAGTGAACATGTAAAATTGCAGTCTTATTTATTTTAAGATGCCCCCATTTTCAATTACTTGCTCTGACAGTTTGTATTCATAGACAAGCATACAAGCATGGAGGTATAACCAAATCTTGGTTCAAGAATTAAGGCTTGCATTTTAAGCTCACTTGGGTAAGTGATGTCACACGTCCACACGTCCACACATCCTTCATTTTATTTTTATTGTGGGCTTTTAACGAAAAGAAGGACGGGGGGGAAATGACTAAATCTAAGACACAAACACAAAGTGGACGGATTGTTGGTTGGAACCAATAATGATAAATGAGAACTGAGGGATCCTTGATACTCTCTCTGACCTTGGTTGTTTTCTTACAATGTTTCCTTATCCAACTAAGTGACATCATCAGTGCAGCAGGAGAAGGAGAAGAAGGAGAAGAGGCGGGAAGAGGAAGGGGGGGAAAGGATAGGAGGAGGAGGACTGGGGACTCCTTGATGGTCTCTGAGCTAATCAAGGAACTGAAAGAGCAAACCACAAATTGTTGAGGTTAGCTGGCAGCAGGTGCGGACGGTTGAGGAGAGTGAGGACTCAGATGAGGGGCCAAGACCATTAGGGAGTGGACTGCTGCCTTCAGAGATTGTGGGGCTGGCAGCAGTGATGAGGAGGTTCCCGAGGAGCCTGTGCCGAGTGCGCATGCGCGCAGGATTACTCGGAGGAAAGAGCAGCTACAACAGCATGGGTGACTCGGGAGTAAGGCTGCAAGGTAATGGCCCCTCCTTCAAGAAGATAAAAGCCAGCTGTGAAAGGAACATACTTTGCAGAAGGCAAAGACGTTTTGAAACTCCAGCCTCATGAGCATTCCAGTATCCTGAGTTTGTATCTGGAGATTCTTGTATTGCAAATTATTTCTTGTCTGTTATCTTTTGGCAAGTCTTGCACAGTTTGGCAAGGCTTGTGCTTATCACAGCTAATTATTTTGCAAAAGCATTACAGGTTTCTGTTCTATTTGGATTGTGTTTGATTTGTTGGAAAAGGGTGTGGGTCAGAACACTAGTATATAAACAGAGCAAACCTCACTCTGTTTATATACTAGTGGGGTTTGTTCTGTTATATACTAGTGCTTTTCTCTTTCAGTTCTTTGATTAACTCAGAGAATGTCAAGGATTCTCCAGTCATTGTACTCCCTCTCCCCTCCTCCTCCTCCTTCTCCCCCTCCTCCTCTCCTCCCCACTCCCCCTCCTCCTCCTGCAAATTTCACTCCCTTCCTGTCAGTAGTGGGATTCAGCCAGTTTGCACCAGTTTGGGAGAACCGGTTGTTAACTTTCTCAGCAGTTTGGTGAACTGGTTGTTGGAAGAAATCATTAGGGCAGAGAACCGGTTGTTAAATTATTTGAATCCCACCACTGCTTCTAGTCCTGATGATGCTACCTAATTAGGTAACGAAACATATAATAGAATAACAGCGTTGGAAGGGACCTTGGAGATCATCTAGTCCCGCCTGCTGCTCAAGCAGGAAACACTATACCATTTCAGACAAACCATTGTCCAAAAACAACCAAGCTCAAAGAGCATCCAGGACTCCTCATATAAACCCTGAGCTACAAATATTCTCCTTTATAAGTATGAACTTGAAGACTTTTAAATAGGACTACAATACAAACCTTCTCACCATCAAGTCCATGTGCTCCGTCTCTTCCGTTTTTTCCAGGTAGGCCCTGAAACAGCAAAACAGGATGAATTGGCAGAAAGAACAATTTATGGATGGAACATATGGGTTTATTATTTATTAGCTGGATACTCATGCTTTGCTACAAAACTATGTGATCGGGCTTAGTTTTTGGGGAGAAAAATAAGGGGGGGGGGGGATCTGTCTCTGCCTACCAGCATCCATCGGTATTCATCTGGCTAGCGTCCTGTCAATGTGTGAGAGAGTTGAGGGCTGTTTGAAAACTGAAACAGTATTTGCTGTGTGAGCAAGAAGGAGACAGCAAGGAGCCTGGGCATGGCTTAGCTCAACTGTTATATACTAAAGCTGCTTGGTGCTGTGAAACTGAAACTGAAACTGAAACTCCTCTCCTCTGCTTGTGTTTTGCATTTGGAACAGATTTCTTTTCAGGTGGGGAGTAGAATTCCTTAGCTTCAGAGCGTGTTAATAATAATACTATAGGAAATACTAATGCTCTGATGGTCATTTTGAAAAATCCTTTCTTAGTGAGCACCTAGAAGCCAAGAGGAACATATGTGCCAAATTTCAAGTTTGCAGGCTTTACAATTCCAGAGATTTTGTGATGATGCGTGAGAGGTATTTCACTTTCATATATATAAGATTTTTAAATACAGTTGAATAAAATTTATTTCTTCTTATAAAAAGATCCTGACATGCTGGAAAGTGTGCAGAGAAAATGTTAGGAATGTAAGTCACCTAACAGTTGGGTTGGAAATATATAAACCAGGATAGACATCTTAATACTGTCTCTTTAAGGGAATGCTAAAATTGTAATTGGGTGTGGTTCCTCAAACGGCCATAAAATGGAGCCAGAAACCTGGGTTGTTAGTTCTGTCCTGTTGTTGTTAGTCGCTAGTTGGTCGATGTTCTGTTGTTCGCTGTTTTTGGTTCCTGCATTTTTCCCTATTGACTGTTGCTGATCGTCGTTCTTCCTTGGATTTGATGTGAGTCTATTTACTGAACTGTTTATGATACTGGACTTTGGTTTTGGATTATCCCTGGACTGAATACTGACTTTTTAAACCGTGTATGACTTGGACTGCTTGTTGGACTTTGCTTAACCGTTTACTGGAAGTAAAAACCTACATTTTACTATACAGTGTATCTGTGTGCTGGTTGTGGTTATTCCTCACCACTCTCACTACGTCTCCCTGTGTGCACTCATTCTCCTAACGGGGAATTACCACAACAGAAAAGCAACAAAGATGATCAGAGTTCTGGAAGCTAAACTGTATGACAAACAGTTGGGGAAGCAACAGATCACAGCTTGGATCCAGACATATATAGCTAGTCCTCAGATTACGATCACAGTTGAGCCCAGAATTTATGTTGCTAAGCAAGACAGTTGTTAAGTAGGTTTTACCCCACCTTACAACCATTCTTGCCACAGTCTTTAAGTGAATCACTGCAGTTGTTAAGTTGGTAACACTTCAAATGGCCTCTAAACAAGCAACCATTTGTTTAAGGACCATTGGAAGTTACACTGGCAGTGAAAAAAAGGGACTTATTACCATTTTTCACAGTTCTGACCATTGCACATGGCCCATGGTCACATGATCAAAATTCAGATGCTTTGCAATTGACTCATATTTATGACCATTGCTGTGTCCCAGGGGGTCACGTGATCCCCTTTTGCGACCTTCTGACAAGTCAAAATCCATGGGGAAGCCAGATTCACTTAGCAACCGGGTTACTAACTTAACAACTGCAGCGATTCACTTAACAACCGTGGTAAGAAGGGTCATAAAATGGGGCAAAACTCGCTTAGCGATGAAAATTTTCAGCTCAATTATCGTCGTACATCAAGGAGTGCCATGGGATGGAGTCTCTGGAGTATTCACGGATAGACTAACAGCGGAAGATTTCCAAAATAGATCTTCCATATTCATTCCCCCAAATTGCCTTTCATTTCCTCAGATTTTTCAGAATCTTCTAAGGAAATTGTCTGAATTCATGACTAAGAGCCCTCTTTGTTGCATATAATGCTTTCCCCCTTTCATTACATAATTCAAAATCACTTGAACATCCTGATTTTGCCAGAGTGCTTCTTATTTAAAACACAGTAACTATAGAAACATAAAACCAGCCGCTCTTGATTCTTGATAGCAGACAAATGAGACTCTATTACAATTGAAAACACTCCGGGGAAGCTTTTAATCCAATATATCTAAGGCAAGGCTCTTCAAACTTGGCCAGTTTAAAACTTGTGGACTTCAACTCCCAGAATTCCTGAGCTAACATGACCAGAGGAGGAATTCTGGGAGTTGAAGTCCACAAGTCTTAAAGCTGTCAAGTTTGAAGACCCCCTGATCTAAAGGGTGAGGTTTCACGGTGATATATATTCTCTCTTTTATGAGAACCAGGTGGGCAGTTCTTAGTAAGCCAAACCATACAGCTTCAGTGGTGATTAAAATTATACCTTCTATATCTGCACATCTGATTTGCACTTTTCCCTCTGACATGTTAGCCATCAAGTCCACCAATTAGCCAAAATCATTTTTATTATGCCAAGAATATAAGGAAAGAATGTAATGTGCCTTAGAAACTTACTTATTTTTGGTGGGGTTTTTTTGTTTTTTGTTTTTAAATATTGCGTTAAATGTGTGTTTTTTGGAATTGTAAGCCATCTAGAATCACCAATTGAGCATACAAAACTTGCTAGACCAATACTCGAATACAGTTCATCAGTCTGGAACCCTCATTACGTATCTGATATTAGCACAATTGAGAAAGTCCAGAAATATTTCACAAGAAGAGCTCTCCACTCTTCTACTCGTTGTAGAATACCTTATGCCACCAGACTTGAAATTCTAGAACTAGAAAACCTTGAACTACGCCGTCTTCGGTCTGACTTAAGCATGGTATATAAAATCATACATTGCAATGTCCTACCTGTCAATGAATACTTCAACTTCAACCATAACAACACAAGAGCACACAATAGATACAAACTCAAAGTAAACCGCACCAAACTTGATTGCAGGAAATATGACTTCAGCAATAGAGTAGTCAATGTCTGGAATACTCTACCCGACTCTGTAGTCTCTTCCCCAAACCCCAAAAACTTTAACCTTAGACTGTCTACCATTGACCTCACCCCTTTCCTAAGAGGTCTGTAGGGGGCGTGCATAAGCGCACCAACGTGCCTACCGTCCCTGTCCTATTGTTTCTCTATTCTTTTATTTTTCTTATATGTACCCATCTCATGTATTCACAACTATGTATACACTTATACTTATTATCTTGTAAACAATTGACAAATCAAATAAATAAATAAATAAAATAAAATAAATTGAGGTGGGCAACGATAGAAATTGAATGAATAAATCAGGGGTCTCCAAACTTGGCAACTTTAAGACTTGTGGACTTCAACTCCCAGAATTCCTCCTCCAGTCATGTTAGCTCAGGAATTCTGGGAGTTGAAGTCCACAAGTCTTCCACTTGCCAAGTTTGAAGGCCCTTGGTATAGGTGATAACATCAATTCATCATTTAGCTTAATTTTTTGGGGGGTGGGGTGGGGTTCAGCATCATTTGTAGTCTCTTAATCAAGATGCAGGTTCTATATGTTGTGTGAACTCAACCCACATGTTGTTAAGTATGTGTGCGTCCCACATTTAACAAGGAATTTGACATAAAAATGGCTTACAGGTTCTCCATGAGGCCCAGCGCTCCCAGTAGCTCCATTTGGACCTGGTGGACCCTGGGAAAAAAAAAACAAGAGAATTTTCTAGAAGACATCAATAACACCCAAGGGAGACTAATTAAGTCCTTTAGCAAGGCAGTAAACACAGATAATCCTTGACTTATGACCACAATTGAGCCCAAAACCTCTGTTGCTAAGCGGGACAGTTGTTAAGTGAATTTTGCCTCATTTTACAACCTTTCTTGCCACCATTGTTAAGTGAATCACAGCAGTTATTAAGTTAATTACACGGTTGGTAAGGGAATCTGGCTTCCCCACTGACTTTGCTTGTCAGAAAGTCTCAAAAGGGGACCACGTGACCCCGGGACACTGCAACCGTTATAAGTATGAGCCAGGTACCAACGGTCACTAAACAAACTGTTGTAAATCGAGGACTATCTTTAGGGTAAACTGAATCTTAAGATAAATTAAGTTGCATTATATCTCCTTTTATTTTTGTTGTGCCCCCCCAACACTAATTTCCTTCATTTCCTACTTTTTTTGCTTTTTTGCATAATACAGGTAGCCCTCGAGTTACGACCACAATGGAGCCCAAAAGGTTTGTTGCTAAATGAAACATTTGTTAAGTGAGTTTTGCCCCATTTTACGACTTTTCTCGCCACTCTTGTTAAATGAATCATTACATTTGTTAAGTTAGTAACAGGACTGTGAAGTGAATTTGATGTTCCCGTTGACTTTGCTGGACCGAAGGTCGCAAAAACGGATCACGTGCCCCCTCCGGGACACTGAAACGGTCATAAGTATGAGCCAGTTGCCAAGCGTCTGAATTTTGATCATGTGAAGGTGCAACTGTAAGTGTAGAAAATGGTCATAAAAATGCTTTTTTCAATGCTGTTGTAACTTTGGACGGTCACTACATGAACTGTAGCAAGCCGAGGACTACCTGTACTGGATTTAAATTGAGGACTGCATGTAAAACCAGAGGGGTTGCAGAGTGAAATTATTTGTCAACTGTCATTTTGGAGGTCTATTATTATTTATCATTATTATTTATTTATTATTATTATATTATCATTATGGAGCCTGGGTGGCACAGTGGTTAGAGTGCAGTACTGCAAGCTACTCCCACTGCAATTTGGCAGATCGAAACCCACCAGGCTCAAGGTTGACTCAGCCTTCCGTCCTTCCGAGGTGGGTAAAATGAGGACCCAAATTGTTGGGGGCCATAGGCTGACTCTGTAAACCGCTTTGAGAGAGCTGTAAAGCACTGTGAAGCGGTATATAAGTCTAAGTGCTATTGCTATTGCTATAGATATACACGAACAATGTCAAACGACCTGTGCTGCTTATCCCTAAAACAAGTAACTTGACAGGTACAGAATACGGAATACTTTATAACAACAACAATAACACACATGGAAAGTGGGATTTACTTTGTCGCTTGTATCCTTACGATTTATATTGACTGTTTCCTAGTACGATTTGATTGCTTATTGTACCCTATGACTATCACTAAGTGTTGTACCTTATGATTCTTGACTCTTGATGAATGTATCTTTTCTTTTATGTACACTGAGAGCATTTGCAAATTCCTTGTGTGTCCAACCACACTTGGCCAATAAAGAATTCTTTATATTCTATATACAGTATATTTAACACTTACTGCATCACCCTTTGGGCCTCGAAAACCTTGATGGCCTCGGTCACCACGGGACCCCTGAAATGATGAAACAGAATCCATTACACATCAACTCTTTAGTACGGGCCGATCTCTTGATTTACCTCGAAGTAAAACAATATTTGTCCCTCTGAGAGCGCTGCAGCTTAATCAGTGCCCTGCCACTCAAAACAACATGGATGGGAAAATAGTTGTGTCTTTGGCATCTTCTTTGCAAGAGGAGGTTCTAAGAGAAGAGTAGTAGTAGAGTAGAATAGTAGTAGTAATAGTATATCTGTAGTTCAGGGTTGACATGAGGGGTCCTTGGTGCTCCCTGAGCTTGGTTGTTTTCTTCCAGATGTTTCATTACCCAAACTTGGTAACATCATCAGTGCGGGTGAGTGTAGGGTTTCCTCCTTGTTTATATATAGTGGATTGCCCTGCCAGTGTTGATGAGGATGGCTATGGAGATTCTCAATCAACTAGGTCATGGTTGTCTCTGTTGAAAGGCTGTCAAAATGCCTTTCTTCTGAGCATTCGATTTTCCTGCTGGGAGAGCTCCGGCGCAAGGATACGGACAACTGCTTGAAAGCTGGATCTTTTTATTTTTCAGGAAGGCGAGAGATAGCAAGAAGTCTGCGTTCCTGGGCTAGCTAGCTTTGTATAAGTCCCTGATTTTTTATACCTTTTCTCCTTTTTGTGTGAGTGCTTGTGTTTGTATTTCTTAATGTTTTAAATCCTGTCAGGGGTTGTCTTCATTTCCGCCGGAGGGTAAACTCCGCGGGGTGCGGAAGGCAAACTTTGCGGGGCGGTTTGATTGGATTATCGGTTTCGTCCTATTCTCTTTTAGTTTAATGGTTTCTTATATTTGTTTTGTGGCAATCTCCTGTCTGTCTCCTTTGCAATATATTTTGTGTCTTTTGTCTGTTTTGCTGATTTGGCATGTCTTGTGTTTGTAAGGGTTTTCTTTTCTTGTTTCCTTAGTTTTCTTAATTATTTGGGCAAGTTTGTTTTATGGCTGGCTTGATGTTCCCTTTGGGCTTTTCCTGCTTGGGTGACACCACTGTCCTCGTGAAGTTCCCTTTCCACATCCCAAAGGGGATTTTTTCAAAAGGCAACTGGAATTTCTGGGCTTTCTTTGAAGACATTTCACTTCTCACCCAAGAAGTTTCTTCAGCTCTGACTGGGTGGTGGGGAATGGAAAGCACTACTCAGGTGACCTGAAGATGGGATAAAACTCCAGGTGGCCTCAATGACCCTCTAAAAGGATGCAAATGACCAGCTGTCTGCAAGGAGTATCCCCACCATCCAGTCAGAGCTGAAGAAGCTTCTTGGATGAGAAGCAAAATGTCTTCAAAGAAAAACCAGAAAGTCCAGTTGCCTCTTGAAAAAAAAAGGATTCGCAGGAGGAAGTGCCAGAAGAAGAGGATATCTGTAGCTCAGGATTGAAAGGAGAGGACCTTGGTGCTCTCTGAGCTTGGTCGTTTTCTTCCAGACCTTTCATTACCAGAATAGGTAATGTCATCAGTGCAGATGAGTGTGGGGTTTGCTCCTTGTTTATATATAGTAGATTGCCCTGCCAGCGTTGTTAAGGATATCTATGGAGATTCTCAATCATCCAGGTCATGGTTGTCCCAGAGGTGCTTTTCAAAAGACAACTGGACTTTTGGGGTTTTTTTTTTTTTCTGGAAAACATTTCATTTCTCATCCAAGAAGTCTGATGTCGAGCCCAAAAGTTGACATATGTGTAGCCATTTTAGTTAGTGTAGTATTATAGTATTTGCTATCCTTTCTCTCCCCCCCCCCCCTGTAAACTGGGTTTCAGGCTTGTCACATTTCAAAGGATGGGAGGAAGGAGTAGATAGTGGAGGATGTTTTGGATAGGTAACATTCTTTCCCATGGGAACAGGGTGTGTCCCTGCAGGTGGCTGGAGGTGGAGTTTGGAGTCACCGGAGTCACCGGACTGAATGTTGATTGGGGGATGTGACTTTGGTGGGATGTTCCTAACTTTCAATATTATTGCGTGTAATTCCGGGTCAGGTTTCCAAGGGATAATCCCCTTTTCAAAAAGAAGCTTGCAAAGTCCATCTTCCAAAGCAAATTCCTTTTATTTAGTTATACAAACAGACTTTGCCAATTTGATGTATGCTTAAATAAGAGGAATTTGCTTTGGAAGATGGACTTTGCAAGCTTCTTTTTGAAAAGGGGATTATCGCTTGGGAACCTGACACCTGAACTGAAGAAGTTTCTTGGATGAGGATCTCATTGGCCTTCTCATGACCTATAACAGCTTCCAGAAGTGCTGCTAGCACTGGAGATATATTTGGTGCTTGCTGGATGAATCTTGTGCTCTCTTATAACAGAATAACAGACTTGAAGGTCTTCTAGTCCAACTCCCTATACAAGCCAGACCAGCCAGGTCCGGTACCATCCCAGACAAACAGTAACAGATAACAGATAATCAGAGTTGGAAGGGACCTTGTAGGTCATCTAGTCCACCCCCCTGCCCAAGCAGGAGACCTTACACCATTTCTGACACATGACAGTCCAATCTCTTTTTGAAAGTCTCAAGTGATGAAGCTCCCACAACTTCCGAGGGCAACTTCTGTTCCATTGGTTGATTGTTCTCACTGTCAGAAAATTTCTCCTTATTTCCAGGTTGAATCTCTCCTTGTTCAATTTCCATCCATTAATTCCTTGTCTGGCCTTCGGGTGCTTTGGAGAATAGCTTGACCCCTTCCTCTCTGTTGCAGCCCCTCAAATATTGGAAGACTGCTATCCTGTCTCCCCTGGTCCTTCTCTTCACTAGATCAGCCATGCCCAGTTCCTGCAACCATTCTTCATATGTTTTAGTCTCCAGTCTCCTAATCATCCTGGTTGCTCTTCTCTGCACTTTTTCTAGAGTCTCAACATCTTTTTTATAGTGTGGTGATTGTTTGTTGTCCAATCTCTTCTTTAAAACCTCCAGCTTCTGGAGACAACTTCTGGAGGCAAATCATTATACGGATTAATTTTTCTGTCAGGAAATTCCTCCTTAGTTCTAGGTTGCTTCTCTCCTTGATGAGTTTCCACCCATAGCTTCTTGTCCTGCCCTCAGTTGCTTAGCTTGGAGCATAGCTTGACCCCCCTCTTCTTTGTGGCAGCCGCTGAGATATTGGAACACGGCTATCAGGTCATGTTTGCATATAATGTGGGCTCTTGGATGTGTGTGTGTGAAAATGCAATATAAAAAGAAAACCTACCGCTTTCCCTGGAGGCCCTGGAATTCCAGGTTCTCCTCTGAATCCAATGTCTCCCTGAAACCCAAAAGACGGGACAATATAATTTTTGCCCAAGAGGGGAAAAAAAAAACCTTAATAAATCAACAAAGGATAGAAAGGGACTCGGAGAGATATTTCGTGTTTTTCCTATTGTTGGAAGTTAACACCCACCTCCTCTCCTAGGAAAATGAAATATTTTAGGATATACTAAAAAGGCAGAATATTTCCCCTAAAAGAGAAGTAGAAACTCAGACAGAAACTCAGCCCTCCTACCTTTGTTAATGAGCCATTAAGGCCTGGGCCAGTCTATGCTACATAACAAAGGTCTACCTCCTTCAAACAGACCCATAATAGGGATCGCCCAAAGTCCTTTCATTACATCATCATCCAGCAAGGCTCAACCAAGCTTGGGACTCAGGACAGCCTACAGTGTTGCCCCTGCATGGCCCCATGGGAGTCTGACAACCAATCAGAATACAAGGTCAAATTCAAATCCCAACAGAGGGCATAAAACCAAGGGATTTTCAGCATTTCTTCCCTTTTTTTCTTCACCCAAGGCACGTGATCCTGTCCACCATTAAACCATTTTTCCAAGTAGTCACCATGTTTCCAGTGTCTTTCTTCCCCACTTGGAACTGAACCCAGAAGGATAATTCTTCCAACGCTATATAAGAGGCATCCTCCTCACAAACCAGCGAGATAGTTACATAACTAAATTTCTGAATGCATTAACTTTAGTTGTGGAGGTTTATTATTAAAAAAGCTCCATATGAAATGAGATTGTGACCCTGTGGACAAGGGGCGATGGAAACTATAGCTTTATATAATGTTAGATTGTTCCCTCTATGGGGACTCACGGACTTGTAACACCGTACCTGGTTAAATATCCTGGAAACTCTGATCATTTTTATATAAAACTACTACTGTTGGATCAGGGCGATCCAGTTTCTCTGAACAGAGTTAGATTTTATTACACTGTTTGTAAAATTAGGCCAACTTTGGTCACCCATTGATTTCGCCATCAATTGTAATATATTACTATGCCTTGTTCTATTCGGTTCTGTTCAGTTTTGTTTTATTCTAACGTTTAACTTTTTGCGCTGGTCCGTAACTGTAATGAAGATTGAAACTGAAATTATAAGAAGCTAATACTATTATTATTAAAGGTCAAGGTAAAGGTCCCCCTTGCACATACGTTCTAGTTCCCGACTCTAGGGGGCGGTGCTCATCTCCGTTACAAAGCCGAAGAGCCAGCGCTGTCCAAAGATGTCTCCATGGTCATGTCCCTGGCATGACTAAACGCCGAAGGCGCATGGAACGCTGTTACCTTCCCACCAAAGGGAAACTTGAATTTTTACATGCTTTCGAACTGCTAGGTTGGCAGAAGCTGGGACAAGTAACGGGAGCTCACTCCATTATTCTGTGCTAGGGATTCGAACTGCCGAACTGCCGACCTTTCAATAGACAAACTTAGCATCTTAGCCCACTGAGCCACCGCGTCCCTTATTATTATTATTATTACTATCCCCATAAAGCTGAAGGAAGAGTGCTAGACACAGGAATACCCCAGATCTTTAGACTGGTTAGTAACCAAGTTGAGGTCCGAACTTAAAAACTTTCCCGTTTTGTTCCTGGTAACCAAATTTCTTTTGCAAGCAAGATTGGCTAAGAAAACACAGAGAGTTTAAGGAGGGTGTCCAACTTACCCTGTCACCAATCAAACCAATTGGCCCAACTCCTCCGCTTAATCCTCGGGGACCCTAAAGATGAAGATCAGTTCAAGGCTTAGCATGGCGGGTTTATTAATTTATGAGATTTTGATCCTGCCTTTATTACTTTAAATACATGTTGTTTTTTTATTTATTTAAAAAATCAGCTTTTTCTACCTGCAGTCCGATGTTACCAGGAGGCCCTGCTGGGCCTGGGGGTCCTCGCGAGCCCTGAAAAATAATAATAATAATAATAATAAGAGTTTAAGATGAGAGTCGGTCAAGAGTCCTCCAAAAAGAAGCTGCCTTCAGAAGTTGTGGGTGCCCTATCACTGGAGTCTTTCTAGAAGAGATTGGACAGCCTGTTGTCAGAAATGGTGTAGGGTTGAGCAGGGGGTTGGTCTAGATCAGTGGTCACCAACCAGTGGGCCGGGGATCATAATTTTAAATTCTGCGGACTTCTAATATGAATTTTGACTCACGGTGGCTTGCTGATGTCGATGGGAAAGTCGATCCCATGTTCCAGAGCTGTAGTAGTCACAGGACTGGCCCTTTGGTCATCCTGGAGCAGCTCCTCCAGTCCATGGCAAGCCAGTGCACCCGGGTGGAGGAGCAGCCGCTCCAAGATGACCAAAGGGCCAGTCCTGTGACTATTACAGCTCTGGAATATGGGACTGACTTCCCCACCAACATCAGCAAGCCACCGTGAGTCGAAATTCATATTAGAAGTCCGCAGGATTTAAAATTATGAGTTTGCTGGTCCCTGGGGTCCTAAAGGTTAGCAATCCCTTGCCCTAATCATCCTAGTTGCTCTTCTCTGCACTTTTTCTAGAGTCTCAACATCTTTTTCATAGTGTGGTGACCAAAACTGGGTGCAATATTCTAGGGGTGCCTTGACTAAGGCTTTATAGAGTGGTATTAGTACCTCACGTGATCTTGATTGTATCCTTCTGTTAATGCAAAAATTCAGTGAAGATCCTTACCTTCTCCCCATCTTTGCCAACTTCTCCAGGTTCTCCTTTGTCACCGGTGTGCCCCTAAAAAAAGAAAAGCAAGAGGGATCAGAATCCCATTTCTGAAAGCTCTGAAAGTGTTCAGAAACCCCTCCAAAAAAAAAAAAAAAAAGGAGAGGTTATTATTACATCTACAGAATCACCGAAAAAGAAATGTCCTTTCTATTTCCGATGTGAACATTGAGAACTAGAGGACCGACAAGGCAGAAAATGCCATCAGCCTTTATGGCTATTGTAAATTATTTAGACCAGCTTTACAGGCAGGCCTCGACTTATGACTTACGACCACAGTTGGGGCCAGAATTTCTGTGACTAAGCAAAGCAGTTGTTAAGTGATGCGTACTTGTAAGTTCCAGGGTTCCGTTACTTCTCCATCGAAAAGGCAGAGTTTCATCTATTGAGCTCAGCATTTTGCTGCTGACTGAGGCCATTTAGATCTTCCGGATAGAAGCTCAAAGAGGCAGGAAGAAACAAATCACAGTATCAAAACTGCCACCTCACGCCTGCATTCTCCGGGGGGGGGGGGAAGGGGGAAAGGGAGAGGGAATGCTTGGGGGAAAGTGAAAGTAATGGACATGAGCATGGCTCTCAGAGAAAGCACCTCAAGGTCGTTTCCCTGGGAGAAGAATGCAGCTGCAAGACAGTCTACACCAGGGCATCAAACTCACATTGTGTTTTGACCTCGCCTTCTCCAAAAAGCACTAAGCAGATTCTTTGTCCCAGAAAAAGCCCTTTTATTAAAAGAAGGTGAATTTCTTGCATTCACTTTCAGCCAAAGGCCTGGCAAACAGTCTCTCAAGGGTATAATTAGGAGCACAGACCTTATCTAGCTTGGAGAGCTGCCGAGTAAATATTTCCAAACGCAGTGCTGACAAGGAAGGACTCAGCACAGAGTCTCTGAGATGCACAGACAGATCTTCACACTGCTGCAACCAACGAATTCTTTCCTGCGAAAGCCCCCTCCCCTTTTGCTCCTCTTTTAATCCCTATGGGAGGGGCCATTCATCGTTCACCTGTGGCCTTACTCCCACATTGACTCTTAGTCATTGTTCTTTTGGCAGCTCTGCGCACGTGCAGGCTGGGGACTCCGAAGGCAGCTGATGACTGCCAGTCTGCCCTGGCCTCATCTTTGCCTCTGACGTAGAGCCCTCGTCCGAGCCTTCCTCTGTCTCCAGGACTGGCCCATGTTTCTCCCCAACCTCCTCACTGTCCGACTCTGCTGCCAGCTCCGCTAGCTGCCAGCGGGCCACAACACATTGTCACGGCTGCAACAAGTGACATATTAGGACTTTCGCCCCCTTCGCTAAACCGGGCATGGGCGTGGCCAGCACGTGATGCATCCAGCCTGTGGGCCGGGGGTTTGACAGCCCTGGTCTGCACTGAGAATGTCTGTTTCAAAAACATTTTCTTTGAAATTGATTGGACAATGAGGAGGACCAGCAATGAGATGTGACCAAGGGCGGGGAGGAAATTATACCGAGAGTTTTGGTGTGCAAACTTCAGTTCTGGCATTGCGTTATTGAATTCCACTTGACCTTCAGTAAATTATACCTTTCTCAACAAATGGAGTTAAGGATCGCTCTTGTTTAAAGGTTCAAGATGAGGCAGGACTGACACACAGACTCCTCCTAATGACCAACTATCATGTGATAAAGATTTCCCAAACAGAGAATATATCTCAAGAAGTCCTCAGTTCAATTAACAAGTATTCCGTACCTTGAATCCTGGTATTCCCGGTGGTCCTGGAAGGCCCGGTGGACAGAGCGATGGACACTATATTCCAAACAAACCAGAAATTAATACCAGAGTTATAAAACAATCCACAGGATGGTCACTTTTTATCAGTATGTGTTCTGACCCACGCCCTTTTCCAACAAATCAAAACACAATCCAAAAGGAACAGAAACCTTGTAATGCTTTGGCAAAATAATTAGCTGTGATAAGCACAAACCTTGCCAAACTGTGCAAGACTTGGCAAAAGATAACAGACAAGAAATAATTTGCGATACAAGAATCTCCAAATACAAACTCAGGATACTGGAATGTCCACGAGACTGGAGTTTCAAAACGTTTTTGCCTTCTGCAAAGTACCTTCGTTTCACAGCTGGCTTTTATCTTTTTGAAGGAGGGGCCATTACCTTGCAGCCTTACTCCCGAGTCACCCATGCTCTTGTAACTGTTCTTTCCTTTGAGCAGCCCTGTGCACATGCGCACTTGGTACAGGCTCCTCGGGAACCTCCTCATCACTGCTGCCAGCCCCCACAATATCTAAAGGCAGCAGTGCACTCCCTAATGGTCCTGGCACCTCATTTGAGTCCTCGCTCTCCTCAGCCGTCCACACCTGCTGCCGGCTAACCACAACAGTATGTAGTGCTCATTTACTGTCCTCAATTGGGACTGGCAGCTCCATTGCTTAACAGCATGTTTGTTAAGTGAAACATCACGTGACCATGCTGACTTATTTCTGGCTGTGGCCATTAAGTGAATAATCTGTGATCATTAAGTGCAACATCACGTGACCAAAACTTGTGACTTCCTGCTGGCTTCCCCAGTGACTTTGCTAGTTGGAAGTCGGCTGTGAAAATCACAAATGTTGGATCTCGTGACCTTGCGAAGTTGAGTCCATTGTGATGGGGAGCCATTTGCCAAGCACCCAAATTGCGATCACGTGACTGAGGGTATGCTGCAATGGCTGTAAGTTTGAGGACCAGCTGCAAATCTCCTTTTTCAGCATTCTTGTGATTGTAAACAATCGCTGAATGAGCAGTTGGCAAGTGAGGACCATCTGTAGTAATTCAGTCACAAGGCAGTCAAGCTAGTTGGATTGCTGTAAATTTCATTTAGCTTGGTTCATGTTGGATTAAGAGTTTTAGGATTTTCCAAGAGCCAATCTACAACCTTCAGGGCTTTAAAATGAGAAGTATCTTTATTTCCTTATTGCTTTTTTTCTTAGTAATATTCCTTTCCAAAATTTATAGTATTTCTACTAATAATACCATATTCTAATATCAGGCAGAGAAGAGGAAAGAGGAAAATCACTGCTGTTTTCTGCTCAACTTCTGTAAAGACAATTTCAGTAAGGTGGTTGGAAAAAATTTTAACCTTCTCCTTGAGTAGCAATTAGGTAGCTGAACAGTTTGTCAAAACAACAGGTGTGAAGTCTTGGAATGCTGTTTGCTACCTCCCATTAGTGTCATGTTTATTTCCACACAACAACAACCCTGTCAGGTGAGTTGGGCTGAGAGAGAGAGTGACTGGCCTAAAATAATCCAGCAGCTTTCATGCCTAAGGCAGACTAGAACTCACAGTCGCCTGGTGATTGGTCCAAAGTCACCCAGCTGGCTTTCATGCCTAAGGTGGGACTAGAACTCACAGTCCTCTGGTGACTGGCCCAGGTCATCCAGCTGGCTTTCGTGGCTAAGGTGGGACTTGAATCCACAACTTCTTGATTTCTAGCCTGGTGCCTTAATTACTACAATAAACTGATTCTTCCAGTTATCACTCAAATAGCCCAGAAAAAGGCAGTGGAAAATCTTTATACCAGATGGATGACTATGCCAATTAATCTCTAAGAGGTTCAAATTTAATTTGATCTGATCCAATTCATTCCAATTCAGACTTTGTGGGTATTCTATAAGCAAACACTGAAGACAAAGAAACACCATCAGTGATGATATGTTGTTGTTGTTGTTGTTAATGATGTTGATGATGACAATGACACACTGATGATGTTATCTAGTTTGGTAAAGAAATGTCTGCAAGCAAAATACCAAATTCACAGAGCACCAAGGATCCCACAGTTCAGCCCTGAGTTCTCTTCTGTCAATAGAGTTCAGTTTTGCATCACTAAATAAGATCATTTTCAAGAGGCCTAAATTAAATTAGGTCTTTACTTTACTTTATTGTCATCGCACCTTGTACAACAAAATTAAATACCATCTTCAGTGTACAATTTATATGAAAATAAACACAAACACACATCCTTCACATTCTATACATTGAATTGAAAACCCCTGATATTGCATTCATACTGCACTATTATACAGTAGACTTCAATAGTGTTACTGCCCTAATAGTCATTATTATTATTATTATTATTATTATTATTATTATTATTATTATTATTATTATTAATGATGTCTCATGCCTAAATTAGTGTTTCTCAACCGTGGCAGCTTGAAGGCGCATTCATGGCTGGCTGGGAATTCTGGGAATTGAAGTCCACACCTTTTCAAGTTGCCATGGTTGAGAAACACTGGTCTAAACAAATAATCTTGGTGTTTACATCTGCAGCTCAATAAAATCTCACACAGAAACCTGAAAAGTGGAAAAATGCACACCTGAAGATCTCTAGTATGGTCAAACGCTCCAGGGAGACCCTGCAACAAGGAAAATGCAGCACGTTTCATGGGGAGCATAGCTTACAGACACCCAGTGTTGTTAAAGCACATATAACACACTTAACCCGAGTCAGGAAAAAGCATTCTCAAAATGCCAACCTTGATTAAATTAATTTTCTTCCTTTTTGAGTAAGTTGCATAAACCCAACCAATTTGCTTAACCGATGGCTTGATATACAGGTAGTCCTCAGCTTATGACCACCACCGAACCCAATTTTTTTGTCGCTTGGTGAAACTTTAATTAAATGAGTTTTACCCCATGTTATGACTGTTCTTGCCACTATCTTGAGTTCATGTCAAGAGGCAGGGGTGGGATTCTACCGGTTCGGACCGGTTCAACTGAACCGGATGCCAAATTTGCATCTGGTTCACCCACCCGGTATTTGAACCGATCGGCTGGCCCCTCCCACCCCTCCCCGCTCCTCCCATGAATCTCCACACGGCCCGTTTTCAATGTAGGGGTCCACACGGAGGCTCTGGGAGGGGGAAAACTGGGCCTTCCGGAAGTCCAGAAACGGGCCTGTTTTTGCCTTCCAGAGGGCCTTCAGAGCTTGGGAGAGGCCATTTTCACCTTCCCAGAGGCTCGAGGGAAGCCTCCGGACCTTGGGAAGGTAAAAAACGGCTCTACTGGAAGTACCGGAAGTCACAAAATGGGCCCGTTTCCAGCTTCCGGAGGGCCTCCAGAGCCCAGGGGAGGGCGTTTTCACCCTTCCAGAGGCCCGAGGGAAGCCTCTGGACCCTTGGGAAGGCGAAAAACGGCCCTCCCGGATGTACCAGTAGGCCACACCCACCATGGCCACGCCCACCCAGCAACTGGGCAGCAAATCGGTTGCTGGGATTTTTGAATCCAACCCCTGGTCAGAGGGTTTGTCGTGTTTGGGGAACTGGGTCAGAACACATCCCCTCTCTCCCCCACCCTGCTGGTCGACAAAGCCTGAAGTGTTGGGGAACTCTGATCTAAAACAAATCTTAACTTACGGGTGGTCCCGGAGGTCCTGGGGGTCCAGGAAACCCTGGAAGTCCAGATGGTCCCTAAAAAGAAGAAGAAATAAAATCAATTCCAAAGCAGACACCTTCAACTTACATTATATTCAATAATTTATGGAAAGCATCTTTACCTAGTTAACTGGCTGGCAGAATGGGAACTGTGTCTATTTATATTTTACTTATTATTATGTCTGAGCAAATTTGGCTTTCACACCTTCCAGTACAGCTTAGTAGTAAGGTAGCCTCAACTTATGACCTTAATTGGAACAGTAAAAAAAAAAATCATTGTGAAGTGAAGTGGTTGTTAAGTGAGGTGTTACATGGCCTGATTCAATTTTGTGACCTTTTTAGCCATGGTCATTAAGCGAGACATCACACGATAGCAATAGCACTTAGACTTATATACAACTTCACAGTGCTTTGCAGCCCTCTTTAAACAGTTTTACAGAGTCAGCCTCTTGCCCCCCAACAATCTAGGTCCTCATTTTACCAACCTCAGAAGGATGGAAGGCTGAGTCAACCTTGAGGCAGTCACGATCGAACTCCCAACTGTGGGCAGAGTTAGCCTGCAATGCTGCATTTTAACCACTGCACCACCACGGTTCATAATTTATGACCTTCCTTGCCAAATCCCATGCTTTGCTTGTCAGAAGTCAGCCAGCAAGGTTGCAAATAGCAATCATGTGACCCTGGGACACTGCATCTGTCATAAATGCATGCCAATTGCCAAGCACCTGAATCGTAACCATATGGTCGTGGGGATGCAGCAATGGTCATAAGTGTGGTTGTAAGTCACTTTTTTCAGTGCCTTTGTAACATTTGACACTTGCTAAATGAATGGTCGTAAGTTGAGAACTATCTGTAGCAATTTCCAGAAGTGCAAATAAAATCTGAATAAATGTCTTCTTAGTCCAGCTCTTTTAAAGGACATCACAATCTACAAGCCAGGATACTAAATTATTATTATTATTTATTACATTTATAGGCCGCTCATCTTGCGGTTCGAGGCAACTCTGAAATGTCTCAGCTTTAGCCCAAAGAACCAACTGCCACCCTCTATAATTTTTGGGAAGCAGCACTGTGAGCAAAACCCCACTGTCTTCTAGCACTGATGATGTTACCTAGTTGAATAATGAAACGTCTACAAGAAAAGAACCAACCCAGAGACTACCAAGGACCCCACAGTTCAGTCTTGAGCTACAGATATTCTCTTGTATCGAGATCATAAACAGGACTTGAAAGACCTTAAATCTCCATTTTGTATTGTTCAGTTACTCCCCAACTGGCAAGGGGGTGGGAAGAAATTGCATGGTAATAATACCCTAGATCAGGGGTGTCCAACCTTGGCAACTTTAAGACTTGTGGACTTCAACTCCCAGAATTCCTCAGCCAGCAAAGCTGGCTGAGGAATTCTGGAAATTGAAGTCCACAAGTCTTAAAGTTGCCAAGGTTGGACACCCCTGCCCTAGATGGAGGTTAATCCAGTGGCGGGATTTCAATAATTTAACAACCAGTTCTCCCAGGATCAGGTTGGCTGTCATGCGAGACGTGGCCCACCCCCATCCTTCAGCTCCACCACACATGCGGGACGATCCTCCCGCGATGTGGATCCTGGGCGCTGCACTGCAATGGAGAAACGGGAAATGGAGGCAGCTGGCACAAGGGAAGGAGGAGGAGCAGGGAGAAGAAAGAGGGAAAGCGGCTTTCTTCCCTTGTGCCAGCTGCTCCGTTTCCCATTTCTTCATTGCAGCGCAGTGCCCAGGATCCACTTTGATAGCGGGAGGTGGGTAACTTAACAACTGGTTCTGTTGAACCAGTGTGAACCAGCTGAATCCCACCACGGAGTTTATCCCGTTATGAAATTCTGTCCTGGATTCATCAGAACAAGGAAAAAGAAGGAAACTTACAGGTGAGCCTTTCTGTCCCCTTCCTCCCAGAAGACCACTGGTGCCTGGAGGTCCCTGTTAAAAGACAGAAGACAAATAAATGTTAATGTTTATTCTTTTCATTTTTTAAAAAAGAGGCAAGGGCTTCAAATTTCTCTCCTCTGCCCCTCCCCCAAGTTCTTCGTCTGGTCACTGCAGCCCTTTAAGGACAGCCGAGAATGGCTCTTCAGGACTCAATTCGAAGGACTCCAATTCAATCCACATTTATTCTTTTTCCTAATTTGGTTTTTTTAAAAAATGATTTACCGGTGGTCCTGCTGGTCCTTTGCCCTGAAAAATGAGAAGGAAAATGCATGGTTAAAATGGCACAAATCCAGATTAGCTGGTCATTTGGAAATCGGTTCCTTCCACCCATGCTTCTTCCCTTACAGGCAGTCCTTAACTTACAACCATTCACTTAGTGACTATTCAAAGTTCGAATGGCACTGAAAAAAAGTGAATTAGGACTATTTTTCTCACTTACAACCAAGGACCCCTCCTTTACAACCTTTGCACCATCTCAGTGGTCCCCTGATCAACATTTGGACGCTTGGCAACTGACTCATACTTATGAGGGTGGCAGTGTCCTGGGGTCATGTGATCCCTTTTTGCGACAATTCTGACAATCAAACTCAATGGGGAAGCCTGATTCACTTTACTACCTTAACAACTGCACTGATTCAGTTAACAACTGTGGTAAGGAAGGACATAAAATGGGGCAAAACTCACTTAACAACTGTCTTGCTTGGAAATGGATTTTGGACTCAAATGTGGTTGTAAGTTGAGAATTACCCTTATAATGAATAGACAACTGGATACACACATTCCCTATTCCCAAAATATAAATACAGAGGTCTTTTAGCAGTGGGATAGAGAAATGCATGCATGGAAAACTGAGATGATTATGGGACTAGTTAGAGAACTGAAAGCTCTCCTTCCCGCCTTTTAATTAATTTGTGACATTACATTTTCATCATCCTAGCCTCTTTTTAAAATCTATACCCTGTTTTAATGTTTTAAATATTTGATTTGTTGATTGATAGAGCCAAAACATCTGTCTGATGTGGAGGACTAAACTTTCTTTCTCTGCAAAACCAAAGATTCATGATACATCTTTATCAAAGCTGGTAGGCCAATATCCAATACTAATAGAATAACAGAGTTGGAAGGGACCTTGGAGGTCTTCTAGTCCAACCCCTTGCTCAGGCAGGAAACCTTATACCATTTTAGAGAAATGGTGGTCCAATCTCTTCTTAAAAACTTCCAGTGTTGAAGCATTCACAATTTCTGGAGGCAAGTAGTTCCACTGGTTAATTGTTCTGTCAGGAAATTTCTTCTCAGTTCTAGGTTCTAAGAAGCAACAGATGGAAACTAATCAAGGAGAGAATCAACCTAGAACTAAGGAGAAATTTCCTGGCAGTTAGAACAATTGACCAGTGGAACAACTTGCCTCCAGAAGTTGTGGGTGCTCCAACAACTGGAAGTTTTTAAGAAGAGATTGGATAACCATTTGTCTGAAATGGTATAGGGTTTCCTGCCAGAGCAGGGGGTTGGACTAGAAGACCTCCAAGATCCCTTCCAACTCCTCTTCTCTTCTCTTCTCTTCTCTTCTCTTCTCTTCTCTTCTCTTCTCTTCTCTTCTCTTCTCTCCTCTCCTCTCCTCTCC